CTTGCCGTGCATCTTCTTGTGGCGCCGCAGCACAGCCGAGCGGGTGAAGCACTTCCCGCAGACGTCGCAGGTGTAGGGCTTCTCCCCGGTGTGGGTGCGGACGTGCCTGCGCAGGTCTCCGGAGCCGCCGAAGCACTTCCCTGCACAGACAGAGGGGGCGCTAGGAGAGGCCACTGGGGACGGGGCCTTCACCACAATCGCCCCTCATCCGTCTCATTCGAGAGCGCCCCAGTCTAACAGCCAGTCTGTTGACACAGAAACGGCTTTGCTAGCCCAGTGTGACGCTGCACACTTGTAATCCCAGCGCTCTGAGAGGCTGAGGCAGGAGGATGGCAAACTTGAACCCAGGTTGGACAATGTAGCTACTTAAAGAAATCCTGTCTCAAGAAAAGGGGGATGGGCTTCGGATACGGCTCGGAGGGAAGGTCCGTGAAGGCAGCACCTTTCTAAAAGGAAACTGCAGATTAGCACACACGATTCTCCAGGCCACTCCTTTTCCCCTTGTACTGAGGAGGGCAGGCACAGTTCCCAGTCAACCCGTGCCGCGCTGGCCTGGAGAGGCAGGCTGTACAGTCTACCGGGGCAGGCACGGCCTCACAGGCAGGTAGCAAGGGTGTGCATGGGCTGAGGCCCGTGCCTGGCAGGGACCCAGCAGAGCCCGAGGGACCCAGTGGGGTGGGACGACCAGGCTGGGGTCTATCTTCCCTGGATGGGCGAGCTGGCGGGCTGTGGCTAAGGGGGCCTCCAGGTCAGCAGCGAAACCCCACCCTCCTACAGTCCAGTAGAGTATGAGGGGCCACAGGTGTTCAGCCCTGGGCTCTTCCTTGGATCACACCCGGAAGGCGCCACTGGGCCTCTGTCATGCTCAGTCTCCAGCCAGCAAGCAAGTGCCTTTAGCGGGCCATTTTTGGGCTCAAAGCCTCCTTACTGTCCCTTTACTGCTGCTTCCAACTCGACTCTAGGCTGTGCGCAATCTGTAACTGCATCTGACATCTCTGAGTGGTGGGACAGGACATTTCAGGGCCCTTAGTTTACTCATGGCTGAGCTCCCACCTAGAAAGGAGAGGCTGGGAGGATTTTCTTCTGGGTGCCTCTGACGCCGGAGCCGCCCCACCAACTGCCTGCCCCGGGGAGTGGCACAGGCAAGTGGCACCTGTCTCCTGCAGGGCAGCCGGACAACAAGTGTCCCAGAGGAAAAGGGAAGAGGGAGGAAAACACGCTTCAGGGGAAAGGCAGTCAGCTGCCAGAGGAGAGCTCACATCCGTGCAAAAACGGGGCTGGGGATGGAGGTCAGCGGCACTGCGCCTGCCTGGCAAGTGCGAGGTCCCAAGTTTGATTCCTGGTACTGGGAAAAAAACCATAACAAGATGGGCAGGTGCGCGGGGTGGAAGAAGTGCAGAGGAGACCTGTGCCACACGCCCCATTGTCACCGAGAGGAGGAGCGATGGGAGTGACCACTACCAGGCATGGGGCCGATTCCTGGGGTGCTGGAAAGGCCCTAAAATTAGATCACAGTGAAAGTCACGCAGTTTGACACACATCTAAACCTGCCGACTGGCCCCTGAGATGGGTCCATTTTATGTGATGGGCCGCTACCTCTGGGCTGTTAGAAACGTGGATCCTGAGCTGTACGAACACTGCTCTCTCCCCATCCCCACAGCTGGCCTGGTGGGGCAGACCATGGTTCCTGGAGTGGGAGATGGGGAGAGGGCTGGGAAGAGACGCCTTCACCTTACCTTGGCCCACAGCTGGGGCAGACTCAGAACTGGTATTTTAATCAGTGATCTGAGGCTGTACTAAGCGTGATCCAAATGGGGTGGAGTGGCCCAGATTCACTGTGTCGTGAGAGCCAAGGACACAGCCCATGCCAGGGTTAGGAGGCCACCTGCAGCTGGGCCGAGCCCCTCCGTGGGACCCAACTGCCTTCCCACAGCAGGACTCTGCTCCAATAGACCGCCACCAGTATCGCCAGGAGCGCTCACAAACCCAGACCCCACAGGCACCGGCCGCCTGGTCCTAGCGAGCACGCGTGCAGATGTGCACACACGCGCACACACACACTCACACACACACACAGTGAGCGCAGCCTCCTCAGGGCCAGGGTGAGCGGATCCTGGCCCAGCCCATGTTCCTGTGTGTGTGGTGAGGCTGAGGCTGCCCACTTCCTGCTGTCTTTGGCGCCAACCTCTCTGTTGTCCCAGAAGGGACCCCAGGAGCCCGCCGTGTATACCCCCACTCCACCAGGGCACCCTCTGGAGGGAGCTGCTGCTCACCTGGGCCCGGGGACAGCAGGAGCCAGAAGGCGGCCCTGGGTCGGCAGCGACCCTCACGCACAGTCCAGCCCTCCGCCCGCGAGGCCGGCACTCACCGCAGGCGGGGCAGCTGTAGGGCCGCTCACCCGTGTGCCGCACCCTGTGCTTCACCAGCTTCCTCTGCATGTTGAAAGACTTGCCGCACTCGTCGCAGGTGAACACCTTGTCGGCCGTGTGCGTCTTCTTGTGCTCCTTCAGGTTGCTGAAGTTGCTGAAGCCTGAGAGACACGGGGGTGGGGGTGAGCAGAGCTCGGGACACCTGCGGCAGGAAGCAGCCAGGGCGGGGCCCAGCCTCACCTCGGCCGCAGGTGTCGCACAAGTGTGGCTTCTCTCCCGAGTGGATGATGATGTGGCGCTGGACGTCGCCAGAGGCTGCGAACCTGGAATGGATGGGAGAACTCAGGGAAGGGCCGGAAAGGCGTAGGCGCAGGACTGAGGGCCTTTCCTGCTGCCGGCAGGGAGGAGACGGCCTCTCCCCACTGCTTCAGGCGGGAGTTGGCACCTGCTTCTCACGAATTCCAAGCTTTCCTTTTCTTCCTTTCTTAAAGCAAGTACAAAATGTTGCACACATCCTTTTAAAGCGTTTTTCCGTCTGGCTTCATCAAACTTTCCTCCTCAGTTTCATGAGCGCAAGCCCCGACAGCTCACGGTTCAGCGCCACAGTTCAGAGGGGCACACTCGCAGCTTCGGCCCCGCCAGGGTCCTGGACAGCACCCCAGCCCGGTGACGGCCCAGCTCTTCGGGCACCCGGGGGCTCTGGACATCTGGGGGTCAGAGTGGAAGGCCCAGAAGGTTTCCGAGGAAGCCTCGCCCTCCTCCCGACTGCCCTGCAGGACCAACTTGCACCCCTGGAGTCAGAACAGACTCAGGCCCTGGCCCCAAGATGGAGGCAGGGAGCGGGGACTGCTGTGCGCCAGGTGACAACCGTCACCTCACCTGCCTGACCCACACTGCTGTGTGGGCGAGCGAGTCACGTCCTGACGAGGCAGAGACCCTGACCGGCCCTCGGGTGTGGAGATCTGTGCTCCTCCTATGCACCGCACCTCACGGGACAGCATGCGATGCACTGGAGGAAGATGCTGCGTGTGGAGATGATGTGAAAGGAAATCGAGAAGCTTCTCATTTAAAACTGTTCAGGGGCCCGTGGCGAAGGGACACGGTGGGCCACAGCTGGTCTCTGCCCGGGCGCCTGACTCAGGCTTGGCTCTCGGCGCTCAGACAGCTGCAGCAGAGTGGGCCATGGGCAGTGCATCGCCTTCATTCTGTGCCCCACTGCAGGCATCGACAGGAGGGCTGAACTGAGTGTGGCACGTGTGCAGTGTGCGAGGGCCCGGCAGTCCGAGGCCGAGACCCTCAGTGTGAGCTGTCGGAGGCAGAGCACCTGTCGTGCTGAGCACGGCGCACACAGCCGGCTGCTGACGAGGCTGAGAGACTGTGACCGTGACGGTCGCCCTGCCGCTGCCTACAGCTGACGCAAGGGTGAGAGGGCAGTGCCGCCTCTCACACCACGCCATGTGAGGACTCGAACGGCCACGCAATCCGCCCCACCACAGGGTCACAGTCTCCACGGCCAGGCCACAAAACGCTCTCGTCAAGGCCCAGCCTCTCCGCTGCCACCCTGTGCCTGATCTGGACCCATGACTCAGGCCCTCTTCTGCCGCCCTCTCCCCTGATGCCTCATCACCCACGCCAAGCTTCCTTCCTGGACAGTCCCCCCTTGGGGACACTAATCTGTCTTCCTGGACATTCTCAGAACAAGTGAAAGTTTTAGTATAAAGCGCCTTGTTTCGTGCAAAGTCGCATGTCCCTCCTGAGACTCCTGCCCTGGATTCTGCTCCTCTGGACCCACTTCCCTCCCCTGCATGTGTGTCACAGGAAGAGCCCGAGGCTGCGGCCGTCCCTGAGCTCTGCAGGGGCACAGGCGCCCTCGTGTGACAGAGCAGAGAGGAGGCACTGACCTCTTTCCGCAGATCTCACAGATGTACGGCTTCTCCCCAGAGTGCCGACGGAGGTGGGTCTGCAAGTTACCTGCCTGCAAGGAGAGAGAGAAGCACACCCATAATGAAAGGTTTCTTATTTTGTTTCTAATTCACACAAATGCAACCGACAGATCTAGCCAGGTTCCCACGCAACCGCAGATGGAGATGAGGCTGGCACAGTTCAGCAGAGGGCATGGGCAAGGAGGCCAGGGACAGCCCAGTGCCTCCGCCGAGCCCTGGGCCACAGACCTTGTAGGGGAAGGGGCCAGTGGTGCCATCCTGGGAGACAGGCCGGTGGGACGTGGCTGTGGTCCCCAAGCCTGAATTTTAAATGGAACTTGATAGAGCTGGACCATCTACGCGGTGTCATTTCAAAAAGTAAACATCACCTGTTCATGCTTATTTCAGTATTCATTATTTATTATTTTCCCCCTAAAGGCATGATTCTGTTCATGAAGAAGGAGGCCACGTGGAGAAGCCTTTCCTCTGCCAGTATGGTATACCTGGCTCTGCCCGGCAGCTCGGTCATTTTACCTCTGTGCAAAAATGCAAATCAGGAGCACTGTGGCAGCATGGCAGAGCCTTCTGCGTTCCTAATTTCTGAAGCCAGCAGGGCTTTGCAAAGAGTAACCCCGGGGTGGAGATCACCAAACAGATTTCCATGTATGAATCAATATTATCTAAGGAACAGCGAAATTAAAACTGCAAGTGCTTCAGATATTAACAAACTACTGGGTAATGTTTCCAGTGAGCAATGGGAAACAAAACGTTCCATTACTCTAATTCAATGGTCTTGGCTGTCATTTTCCCCATTTAATTTTTTATAATGTTCTGTTGCCAAAAGAAGAAAACCCACACAAATAAACGAATATACCCGTGGTAATTATGTGGAGAAATAACACAGCAGAGCCAACAGCAAGAATGAACAGCAACCCAACTAGCAACTGCACCTTTCAAATTTACAAACTGTATTTTAAGGAAGAGAGACAGTTTATGGTTTTGGCGTCCAGAAGATGGATCTGGTGTCCACTTTGACTCGAAACTCCCAAGCATAAAAAATGGTGTCTGTGGGTTACACGAGATGAAAGATCCATGATGTCTGTCAGGCACTGGGGAACACTGAGTTAGACGCTACACTTAGGACTATGATAATGCAGCAATGAAAAAAACTTATGTTTCTTTTCAATAAGTAAGGAGAAAGAATTGGGTAAAACTTTGTGAAACATACAGCTTTTAATAGAATGGCTACTATTAACAACAAAGCAAGGACAGCGATCGACAGGAACACACATCTGCTGAAGATCTGATCGGGTCTTTACTTGCCATTGGTCATGGGCGCTATCACCTCAATTTTCTAGACAAAAAACTTATGCAAGGCTGTCTGACAGGTGACAATGAGAAAGTGGGAAATGGCCTCACAGCCGACCACCAGTAACCTGGGAACGGTGCATTCTGATGTCTTTACTTTTGCATTTTCACCAAGGATGGGAGGAAGGTCATCCAGGCCTTGGTGCTCACACCTAGGGCCCTGGAGGCTGAGCTGCTGCCTGCCAGAGCGTCTCAGCATCCTGGATGTGGCACAGAGCCCCAGAGACCCTCACCCTGAGGCTGCTGCTGCCTCTCGGAACACACCCTTCTACACTTGCCCGGGAGGCACCGGGGGCCTGTGTGCATCACGCAGGGAAGAGCCCAGTCCAGTGGCCAACAGTGCAGGTTCTAGTCACGCACAACTGTCTGTCCTCATGGTCTAAGCCCATATAAGCGGTCTTAAGCTAAAGGGCCACAGTGTGGCTAACCTCCCCCCCAACACCAGGGATCAAACATGGGTCCTTGCGCTTAAATTCCTGGCCCTGGTTAACTTTTAATAAAACACTAACCCCACCAAATACTAACTTCTCAGTACACGGGGCATGAGATTCTTCCTGGTAAATATTTTCTAACTTTGAAATCTTCATAAGGAGAAACCTTTAGGAACCTGCTACTATGAAAACACACTCTGGCAAACCAGGTAGGGCCGATCCTGCCAGTGCAGTGAGGAGCCAGCAGCGGGGGAGGCCCGCGCTCCGTCCCAGCACTCCTGGGGTGCAGACTTCCCTCCCAGCCTTCCGGATGGTGTGGAAGTGACTTCTTTTCCGGTGCCCACCCTGCTCCTGTACAAGCTCTGTACAGCGCACCCTGCAGCAGTACCCTCCCATACTACACAGCTGTTTGTTCCTCTGAGCGATAAACCCCGAGGCCTTGTTCACTTTTGTCCCTCTGAGCACAGGGACACTGAATGGCATTTTTACAGCTGCCCTCGTCTGCAGAACTTTCATCATGCTACTATGAAAACAGAATGTATATCTGGAAAAGCACAGCAATGGATAAAACTACTTCTGTGAAAACCTAACTGACTCAACACTGACCCAGAGGAGGTGGAGCGGCATCTGTTCAAGACAGGTCTGCCCTGACGGGGTTAGGAGGGCAGGCTGGGGTCTAAAGCAGGGCTCTGACATGGCTGCACACCAGACCCACTGCACCAGGCCCCTTCAGAGGGGCTGCACCCTGGTGGGCAGCAATGCGGCCGACGAAGGGGGCAGGAGCCAGGATCCTGAGCGGATGCTTACTGTGGTCTCAAGTGGGAGGATGAGGGTGGCGAGCAGCACGGCAGCGTCCCCACACTGTGGGTGCGGAAAGGGTTTTCGTGGTGGGCTTTTTGCCTCATCATCCTGAGGATCTGTGAAGTAGTATTCTCCCAGTCTTAAGAATGAGCTTCCATGACTGCTCATTACCAGGGCCATAAACGAAGTCTTAAGACTTTTGGGCCACACCAGGTGCTACAATGGAGGCAGCAGGGTGGGGTAGTGACAGGACAATTAAAGAGTGATGTTCCCGAGTCCACACTATGGGCCGGACGGTTCTTAGAGCTTGATCTCTCTGCCTGTCAGAGTTAGCAATCTTCCTTCCTCACTTGACAGGTACAGGGTCTCAGGGCAGCAAGCTGCAACATAGGAAGGCCTTAAACCTGACCCAAACTGGCTGGCGGAAGAGAGGGTCCCTGCCAGAATATGGGGGTGAGCACTGTGCTGAGCCCTCGGGCATGTGAGGATCCTCCTGGTCACATTAGGGCCACCAAGGACCACACAAGGACCCCCAAGAGACGAACTGTCGGGGCAGGCTGGACCGGCTGTGCACAGGAAGAATGCTGACCTGTCTCCGTGATAGGCCATGGGAGCAGTCACGCCCTCGGGTCTGGGGGTGCGAGGCACAGAACCGATCCACATGGCAGGATGGGGGGCAGCTAGAATGCAGGCAGCAGGGTACACGGCACGGTGGCACCCACTAAGTCCATTATCCTCAGGGCCAGCCCCCCATGCTACCACACCAAGGGCCTCCATCGGCCTACTGAGGCTGCCCGTGTCACCCCTGGCCGGTGGCACTTGCATGCACTGCCTCTGAGGCTGTGCCACATGCCGTGTGTCAGCAGTGAACTGGCCACTGCCCTCTACAGAGTGGTGCTCTCCAGCCAGGGGCAGCTGCCAACTGTGTGTTCACCTCTAGAGCCAGGGCCTGCCCGTGGGTAGGGACAGAGGGACCTCCTATGTAGACAGGAAAGCAGGTGCTCCCACACCAGGAAATTACATTGGACATTTCCTATAAAACATTAAATATCTACATTTCTTTAATACCTGCCAACAATGTTTGCCGAATGAGAAAATTAATGACATATCCAAATTGACAGCAATAAAGGCAGGGAGTAAAAGTGGTTTACTCTTGTTTTTTCCAACATCCTAAAATCAACAATCCCAGTAACAGTAAGAAGACGATTTATCCTGGACCTAGCCCAGAGTAATGTGCAACTTCCAGGGAAATCGCAGTGTGGTGTTCTAGGAACTTCATTCACAAAAGAGAGGACATATTCTACCAGGATTGGACCCATCCTTGGGGAAAAGGAAAAGGTGAGACTTCACACAAACAACAAATATCATCCTCCCGCCAGTGAACCAGAAATTTGTGTGAACTTCAATTTCTTGAAAAGTATTTCCTTATTTAGTCTCAAGTCTTTAAACTACAGATATCATTGAGGCTTCTCTTCCAAGTACAAAAGTGTGTCTTATTTGTAAAAAAAACAACACTGAGTTTCAGGTTTCCAATTATTAACAGTAAATAAGAGTATTCCCACCTGAGAGAAATGTTTCCCACAAATGTTACATTCAAAAGGTTTCTCACCTAAAACAAAGGAAAACAACAGTTTGTAAAATCAGTGCTCATATTTTCATAATAATCTTGAAGAATAACTGCAACTTTATCCCACAGTAGGATAACAGGAATCTCTAATTCCTCAGACTTATCTCTCTCCCTGAGATTTACACATGATAAAAGTCAAGTCAATATGCATTTTCCTATAAAAAACAAATCAAGCTGTGCTCCAAATATAAAGCTGTGGTGTGATCCAGTGTATTTATTTGCATTCAAGGCAAACCCAGGTTAGGACATAGCTTTCTCCTTCACCTGGAAACCAAATGGAGTTCTCTTGCCTGACCCTACCTGACCGCCGACTCCTAAAAGAAAGAAACCAGCTCATACTACACAGACGGACATGGGAGACCCGAGCAGTTGGGACCTCCTGAAATGCCAGGAAATGGGGACAAATGGCCTCTCCACCACTTGCAGCCCCCATGCAGTCACCTTCACAGGAGAAAACAGGATCTCACTGTGGGAGAGGTGCTTAGTCTGCTGCCTCTTTGGTCACCTCTGAGTGCAGTAACTAAGTAATATACTTTGGGATGGGACAAGACAGGCTGGCCAACGAGGTGCTGCCATGAGAAACACAGCTGCTCTCGGTAGAGTCTGAGAAGACCTGTTGGAAATCATGCGGCTGCCTTTCATCTCCATCGCACTAGTGAACAAACTGAACGCCCACCCCTCTCAAATCTAAAGGTCTTGTTAAAATCCTCTTTAAATCCCACAATCACACTTGTCTCCTTCCCTGCTATATTCCTTAGGCTTTGCTACCTGGAGAACAACTGGCTAGCAGTTTTCTGGGTTCACACTGGGCTCCTATTCTGATTTTTCTCTGAAAGTGTCTAATGGTTTCCTTGGCCCCGAATGACTATAACCATGTTGTTTGTATTTTGGGACTGAAGTCACTGCGATAACAATGATCAGTTAAAGCCCCCATAAGAGATATAAGAATTTGAAAAAAGAGAGGTTACCAGTCCCCAGAACTCCTAAGGGACCAAGGCTAATGATCCCATGTGGGTCTTAGCCTCTATGGTCTCAGGCACCCCTTCCAATACTTTTAAAAACTGAGGCCCTAAAGAGCTTTTGTTCAGGTGGCTATAACTATGATTCCATGTCTTGCTGAAATAGAAACAGTAACTACAACACAGGAAAACACTGGGCATTAGGCTGTACAAAATTTAAGCAAGCAGAAATTAAGTTTTCTTTCACAGCAAAACTGAGTCTGTGATAGGTATCTTCAAATGCAGTAATTCTGAACTAGCAATAATAAAGATAACACTTTATATTCAAATGAACTAAAACTTGTAAAGGGCTTTCACAGATACTAATGAAGCTGCCCAGCAATCTACTGGGGAGGTAATTACCTCAGCAAAGTAGGGCTCCAAACTGCCAAGAGAAGGCGTCAGTGAGCGCAGCTGCTGGGGAGGCGTCCTGTCACACATGTTGTCACAACTAGCCTGTGCTATGTCATTAAGTCATGCTTCGTCATAGGAGGGAAGGTAACACACAGGTATTCTACAATGTGATGAGTATGTTTTGTATAATACCTTTTTATTCTTGGTCGTACTGAGGACTGAACCCAGAGCCTTGCACATGTACAATACTTATAAAAACCTTTTGGGAAAGGGGAGAAGGCATTCATTAAGATATTGAAACCTTGAACATTCAATGTTTAAAATGAAATTTTTATTTGAAAATATCAATGGTTAAAGCTAATTCCTATTTAAAAGTTCAACTCCTCCCTCCCAAATCACAAGTTTTTTAAATCAGATATTAAAATTACTGCTCAGGGAACTTTTGGAATTATTCAAACTAAATATTATACTTTAAAAAATAAGCTTGATCTGATTCTAGAGACAACTAAATATAGCTTATCTGCTTTAAATCAGATAACTCAAATGCAATAAAACAACTGCCTATACTTCTTAGCGATGTCAGTTTATCATATAAAACTGCAAATGGAATAAAAATGACAAGGGTGCTATCATGGCCAGGTGTGGTGGCACTCGCCTGAGTCCAGCTACTCAAGAGCACTGCAGCCAGAGGATCAAGAGTTTGAGGGAAGTCTAAACAACCTAGCAAGAGCCTGATTCAGAATTAAACAGCTGGGGACATAGCTCAGTGACAGAGTATCTGCTTAACACGTGTGCCACCATGAATCTGACTCTCTGTACCTCAAAAAAATAAAAGTCTGTCATCTTTTTTAAGCAGTTCTATAAAATCATTTCTAGTTTTTGTTTGTTTGTTTTTGAGGTAGGATCTTGTTGCATACCTCAGGCTAGCCTGGGACTCACTTCATAGTCTGAACTCCAGACCCTCCTGCCTCAGTCTCCTATCTCATGCTGAGAAGACAGGTGTGCACTGCCAGGCTGGCACCCTTGAGTTTTATTTACAAACACCAATGACTTCATCAAGAAAGAGCGAAGCATCTTACGAAAACAAGGACAGGCAGGGGTGCTGCACACCCGTCTTACGTCCTTCCCCGAGCCTGCAGGTCCGGAGCAGTGTACCTGTATGAGACCGCTTGTGCAGCTCCAGGTTGCTCGGGTGTTTGAAAGGCTTCCCACACAATCCGCACGAGTATTGCCTCTGGGGCTGCAGGCTCTGGCACTGCTCCTCCAGGGCGGCTGGTGCTTCGGGCACCTCCACTTCGCTAATATCACACTGAAACGGCTCGGAACTGAGCTCCCCACTTTCCTTTTCTTCCGCACTGTGGCTGCCTGCTTTCTCTCCTGGGTTTTCACTAGCAGATTCCGTCCTCCGGGTCAAGTCGTCATCCAACCTGGGTTTGGACGCTTGCTCTGCAGATTGCTGTGACTTCAGGAAGTTGAGTTTCTTCAGATGAATGGCCTTTTTGAGCCGCATCTGCTTGGTTGGCTGCTGGCAGGGGGCATCCGACTCGGGGTCAGGGGCAGAGTCGCTCAGCACTGGGGCCAGGAAGGTGGGGGGCAGGTGCTCCGAGGACTCCAGGAGGCACTCGGAATGGCTAACTGCACACGGCTGGGTGAGGTCTGCGGAGGAGGAGAGAGCAAAAGGCTGCTCGGCCACTCGCTCAGGGCCGGGACAAGCGGCCTGCTTGTAGTACTGCTTGCTGTACAGGTCCCGGAGCTTGTAGTAGTAACCCGGCTGCTTGCTAGGGAGCTCGGCGCTGCTGCCGTCCAGCTTGGCCATCTCACCCTCTGGGGGGTGGAGCCCCATGGGTGGGGCAGGGGCAGGTGCTTCCTCCAGAACCCTGCCGTGTGGGGCCCCAGCTGGGCCCTCGGGCAGGAGGGGCGGGGCGTAGTTTTCACTCAGAACACAGGTGGCATCTGGCGGCAGAGCGCCCTGCAGGGAGAAGGTGCTACCGCAGGGCAGGCCAGGTGGCTGCTCCCCAGAGGCCGACTTCAGAAACGTGTGACACAGGTGGAGGACGTTCTGCACTTGCAAACACTGGGCCGTGTCCAGCATGACCTGTATGTTGTCCTGGTTAAGGTCCAGGTGCGAGGTGTACATGAAGTCAAGGATCTGCCCTATGCCGCTGACGTTCTTCACATCCAAGTGAAAAACATCGTTCTTCTGGCTTGAGGAATTCTGAAAGAGGCTCCTGATAAAAGAAAGGGGACTCATTTACACTGTCAGTAGCACACACATTAGGCTACTGTCTTCTTGTGAGTAGCACTCCTGTATCAATATGTAAAGGTACCATGCTCCAAATGCCACGACTCCTGTGTTTCTTGTATGGGGACTAAACCCAGGGCGTCTGCACTGAGCTACAACCTTAGCCCTTCTGAGACTTTGAGAAAGGGTCTCACTTAGTTGTCCACGCCAGGCTGGAGCTTGGGATCGCCCTGCCTCCTAGACTGCTAGCATTACAGGCGTGCACCACCATGCCTGGCTTACCCTCTACGCCAGTTTGCCACACCATCCAATTTAATTGAATTCAGTAGTGTTCTGAGTATTCGGCTTTTAAAAACAGATATTAAAGTAAATCTCTGAAATATACTCACTGGATTTACAAATAAAAACACTGCACATAGTAATATGGCTGTAAAATAGTGTGCTATTTTACAAAAAGTGCTTTTAACAAGGAGGCTCTGGTTTTTAAATAAGAAGTAAACTTGTTAACCAGGACAATAATTTATATAAAATACTTAACCGTAACAATGTTAAATACGGTGAAACACAACTGCTCATTATTATTTGATTCTTATAAATGAATTTTTCATATAAGAAAAGGGATATAGGGATAGCATACGTTGAGTACAAACTGAAAATTTTGGTAGAACATTCAAATGAAAAATAAAAACAAAAATGTTTAAATTAAAAAGAAAGGTAAGAGCCAAGTGTGGTGACACACGCCTGTAATCCCAGCACTTGGAAGGCTGAAGCAGGAGGATCGCTAGAATTTCAAGGCCAGCTGGGGGCTAGTGAGTTCAAGGCTGGTTGGACTACAAAGACCCTGTCTCCAAAAAAAAAAAGGAAAAAAACAGCACATAGGATGTTGTTCCCCACTCTTGATTTCACAGAAAAATTACTACCAGAAATTCAATTTCTCAATCAACTTTATCCTGAAAGGAAGTGAAAAGCGAGAGGACTGAGATGAATTGGAAGCACTGACACGAAGGAGCGCTGCCGAAATACTTTGTTACCCCATGCGTTTCAGCTAAGAGCGCCTTTTCCTTTCAGCTTAGTCTCCAAACACAAAACCTGCAATACCAGGAACTGCAACTCAAAATTAAAATGAAATAAAAGCCCATCACACTGCATATGCCGTAAGGACAGAGAAACACGGGAAGGAGCAGTGTGGACGGGGAGCCCCGCACCTGAAGTACTGGCTGAAGGCGGCCAGCACGTTCTTGTGCGCTTTGAAGCAGACGCCACGCACCACCAGCATGCAGTCGCACAGCAGGCCCTGGATCCGCTGCTCATGCAGCTGCTGGAGGAGGTGGCAGCTGTGGGTGGCCACCGGGTCCATGCTGCACAGGAGACCTGTGGCGGAGGAGGCAGCAAGCTCTTAGTGACATCGTGGGACACCACGGCACTGCGCCGCTTCGTCAGTGTGCGTAGACACACACGCGCGCGCACACACACACACACACACACACGCGCACAGTTCCAGCTGGACCTACACCAGTGATGTCCCACAGAACTGTCTGCAGTGGAAATGCTCACTGCTCCCTGCTCTGTGCAGTAGCCCTTAGCCACATGGACTACTGGGCCTGGAGATGTGGTGCAGGAAGTGGAAAATTAATTTAAATGGCCTTTGTACTGGGCAGTGCAAATCTAGAATATGACTGTGAGGCCACAACAGCGCTGCGTACACACACTCTTCTGTGATGCTTACTTAGGAATGTATCACATTAAAAAATGTACATATATAAACATGTGCATGGCTTTTAAAAAGCCAACTGGTTAAAATGTTCTTTACTGAAGACCTACACATGGCTCAGTGGGGACAATCAGGGACCTATCCTGAGAGGCATAGTGCAGGGAGGACGGGCCCCACGAGACAGTGACAGTTGGTGCTGCCCAGCAGCACGTCTTTCATGCATGCCCCTGTGCCACTGACTGACGCTACAATAGCAGAGGCCTGAAGGAAAGAAGGAGCGAGAGCACAGATCAGGGGCAGACAGGCGCAGGCATGAGGTGTCTGGGGTGCGAAGAGAACTGCAGAGTGTGGCTGGGTGGCTGGAAGGAGGCGGCACACGTGAGGGGCAGAGGCCAGGCCAGCATGGCTCATGGGCCTTTGTCGGGCCAACTGATTCCGCAGGAGATGAAGCCAGGATGTGAACATGCAGTCTGCTCGTTGCATAGGTTTCTATAGAGTGGCTACGCATGCCAGGTTCTAGGATGGTAACAATGAACATAACACCAGGTCCCCACCCTCATAAAGCTTACATTCTAGGGAGGAAAACACAAGGTGCACAGCACACAACTGATCAAAATAGTACAGCTGGACACTGGGACTCGCGGCTGGGAAAGGTAGGGCCTCTGACGTCCAGGGCTCAGGCCAGCAGGGAGGATTTACGGGACTGAAGCAGTGGGAAAACAATCAGACTGGGGCAAGACTCAGTCTCGTGCATTAAATGTGCTCCAAGCATCATCAGACTTCTGATTTCATTCTGAGTCTAAGCACTGCTAAGAGTCACCACACCACATAGCCAATGCAGGCTTTTTCACAAGGTCCTGCTTGTCTCTGGCCTTGTCCTCCCATCACCATGAACCACCTGTGCCACCCGGGCACGCTGTGCTTGGCAGTGCTCGGAGCCCCAGCTGCACTGATCTTCGCTACAGGACCCTGGGCCAGTGACTTCTGTGTCATGCTGTCTCACAGATGGCCCCAGCAACCAGATGTTCAGCACAGTGTCAGTAACTGGGAAACAGCGTATCCGAGGATCCAGGAGCCTGTCAGGGGTGCACGCTGCTCCCTGCCATCCTTGGGTCCTGCTGCTCGGTGTCGCACATCTGGGTGGCCTTGTATTCTGTTCTCTCCTAAGAACCTATAGCTACTCTGTTTGCACCCAGACCTCCCATTTTCCAGCTTCCCTGAGGTCAGCTACGTCCTGCTTTTATTTTCTGCTTTTATCTATTTTTCTTGTGATGCAACTGGCAGCAGTCACACACACCTTCCCTTCCTCTCACTCTCCCCGGCCTCCTCAACGGTGGCCTGGGGTGACTGTCTTTCCACCATTGCTTGCTTCTGCAGCCACTTGGTAGGCTGCGCTGACAGGAGCCAGGCTGCTCCCACACTGCTCCAGGGCTGCTGCTGCCTCAGGTCCAAGACTGGGGGCCAAGTGGGCCTATGGCTGGCATCCCCACAATCCCTAAACCCCAAGAACTCCTAGAGCCCTCAAACGTGGCAGCAGTCAAGACTCCAACTGCGAGATGGAGCAGCTGTCAACTCGGGCTGCTCCTCCTGGATCAGATCTGTCCACTGCTGCAAGACAGCTGCAGCCATCCTGGGCACCCCAGCTGCTCCAGGAGGTCTGTGGTTTGGTGGCAGCAGACATGAGACTTGGAACAATCCCAGATGATGCTACCCCCGCTGCTGTTACTATGAAGCTCTCAGGAGCCAGGACAGGAAATGAACAAAACTGCACACCCTAGGCCTGTTCTGCTCTGCATTTGCTGCACTCACTCGCTGGCAGCGCCTGCTCCACAGGTCCAGGTAAAGGCTCGCTTGGCGGGAGGTCCTGTGAACCTCCTGGTGACTCTCACCTTGGGTGTTGGGGCATGGGAGGTCGCATGAGGAAGGTCATGTGATGGAAGCTGGGTGCCATTTGTCCTCACTTGCAACGTTCCCATTGGCCCCTTCTTTCCCTTAAACCTCCTGGGAAGCAGGGTGCCTGCGATCGATCTAGCCCATCCTTTTGGCTGTTTCCTTGTTGCTCTCTTCCAGTTCTTCATTCTGTCCCACAAGCACTCCAGGGTGACCCACATGGAACACACAACACCTCCCACATTTGCAGCTGGCTTCTGACACATTTCACATCTCCAGCTCTCTGCTGAACATCTCCAAGGGTACGACCCCTGCACTCACAAGCTCTTACGGGCTCTAACAGGCACCCCCATGATCTTACCCCTCATACCTATTCCCATTTCTTTGCGGAGAGCATCATACCTAATGTGCAGGGGTGGGGATGGGGGAACAATCTCCTGGTCTCTGAGCAGTGTGGGACTAGAGGAAGTGCAGGGTGAGGCCCGAGATGCTAAGAGCCTAGGAAGGCAGCACGATGACAGGCGGTGAGCCAGCAACTGTGTGAACAGTTCCCTACACCTGCCACACAGGCTGCAGAAAGGGAAGGACCTCCTGGCTTACTGTCATTAGTTATCACTCCCTGTCTACTTACTACAGGCCTGTTAGCATGTGATACCTGGGAGCTCAAGTGTCACCACCTACAAGTGAAGAAACAGAAATGGGGACTTTCCTAGCATCCTCAAACTGCTCTGTGTTGAAGCCACGATGTGAATCCTGGTTCCTGAACCCTGGAGTTCTTGTTCTTACACTACCCTGTCTCTCATAGGAAAAAAGACTCCACACAGCGAACCCGAAACCCTCCTCCTCAGACATAGTGTCAAAGCCGGGCGAATATTCAGGATCCGTGTTACTCATTTTCTACCTCTATAGAAATGATATCCTGTAGGAAGAAAAATCTTGGAAAGAGACCCAGAGTTATGGTGATAGTCAGTTACCAACTTCTACTATAAAAATTGTAACTCTTGCATATTATTTTATATAGTTCTCTAAATTACTTCATAAGGTAATCCTGTACCTCCCCCATAAGGTTACAAAAAACTCTGGAAAAAGAATTTATTGTATCCCACAACTAGCAACAGTAATAATAATGACAAATAATCACAAGACGTTTCCTATATGCCAGGCACTATGCTAAGCCCTTTGCCCTAATCCATTTAACCCCTAGAATAACTCTGAGACTGATACTGCTCTTACCCTCCTCTTACAGGTGAAGACTATGAGGAACCTGGAGTTTACAAATGGCCATAGGCTCTTTGACACTGCTCCCCTGGGGTGGCAGAGACCTGGTCGCTTCCTCTTGAATTTGAGTAGGCCCCATCAGTAGAGCACAGTGAAAGCAAAGCTGGAAAACTGTGCTCAGTGCAAGGTGCTGAATAATTTTTGGATGCAGAACCTGGGTTTCAGTTTTTCATCTGTAAAAATGGAGCAGTCCTTTGTTGGATTAGATGACTCTCATGTTTCTTCTTGTTTGAAAAGCTACAAACTCATAACAGGGATGTCACGATAGAGGGACTAGCTTTGCCTAAATAACATCAAACAATGGAAATATGGGCAAAAAGGAAAAGAGCTACAAGGAAAAGCTTAGATAAATGTGGAACCAAAGGTGCTTCTAAAGGGAACAAGCACCAAAATGGGACTCTCACCTGCAGAGAAGACTCCTACATTTGGTGAGGCCATTCTACAACTGGTTCAACACCAGTGGTTCAGTATGTAGGAGTGGATCAATACGTAGGAGTTTTTCAGTGGGGCTGTTAATAGACTACTTCTTCAAGAGCCCACAGTTCATCACCTCAATATCAAGCTCATCTTAGGTTTTTGCTCATCGTATTTTTCAAACTCCTAGCCCCTCACCCTACCCAATGACCAGAGCAATGGCTTCAAGCAAACAAGACTCAAATCCTATCTTGGATTTCTGCTGACTGTCACACCAGGAAGTCTTACTTGGTTACACAGACACTCTGAGTCTAACACATACAAGACATTGTCACAAGGACTGAATAAGATCTGTCCAGTTTTCCATCATTTCCTTCACTTCATCCATTATTTTGCAGAGTTAAGTCTGTCAAAGAATGGAGAGGTCTTTTGCTCTGGATTTTCAGAAGAACTGAATAAAAACAAAATGTAGGACAGCACAATCAGGGATGTAGTGTATGTGTGCCTTGCACACAAGAAGTACCAGAGCATGCTGTTCATCGACCTCTTGGCCATTCTGTCACTTTCATTGGCAAATACTTCCCTCCTTGTCCCTTCTGGTGAATTCCTTGTTATAGTTTGGTTCAACTGTGTTTCCCAGCACCTCAGAACATGACTTCATGGGGACAGCAGGCCTTTAAAGAGGGGATTAAATTAAAACAAGGTCATTACAGTTTCTACTCTGTTCTGCTGTGACTGGTATGTTTATGAGGAGATACGGATATACAGAGAGACACCAGCCAGTGTGGTGGTGCACACCTGTAATCCCAGAAAACAGGAGGCTGGGGCAGGAGGATGGACGTGAGTTCCACACCAGCTTGGGCTACACAGTGAGTTTAAGAGCAGCCTGAAATACAGCAGAGAGAAAAAAGCAGGCAAGAAGGTGGCCAGATGCAAGCCAAGGAGACAGACCTCAGAAGAAAGCAGACCTGGCGACACCTGGAGTTTGGACTTCAGCTTCCAGAACTGTGAGAAAACAGGTTCTGTGCCTAAACCACTTGGTGTACTGTTATGGCAGCCCTAGCAGAGCTATTCCAGACCCTCCACTGCGCACTTCCAGAGGGAAACCTTCCTAACAACCACATCCTCCCACCCTGGGGTTGTTTCTCACAATCTTCTGTTCAGACCCCATTCATGTTTCTTTCATTCACTTAAATAACAAATACTTAGCGACCACCACTGTACGCCAGAGCCCACCTTAAAGCTAACGTTCATGGAGCACTTACTAACTGGCAGATACCGGGCGAGCACCTGGCATGCACATTCATGAAGTCCTACGAGGTCCCGACGACGTAGGCACTGCTGCCACACCGGGTTTACAGATGCGGAAAGGAAGCCTGGACAGGTCAGATCGGAACGAGGCTGGGCTGGGCACTGAGCTCTGAGGTCCTAAGCGCCGACCACACCGGAGTCAGGCAGGGACCAGAGGCCCGGAGACCCGCAGCCCAGGTCGGGGACTGGCAGCGACTGAGGAGGAGCAGGAGATCGGCAGGCAAGAGGCAGGCGCCCGGCTTGCAGTCCCGGCGTCCCCACGTGCCCGCGGGCGCGGGGCACAAACTGTGCCCTCACCCAATCTGAAGCACACACTGATTGTATCACAGGGCAAGCAAAGGCTCCATATACATCAAATTCTCTCTCAGTATTTCTCCCTGTTTCTCAGTATCTTTCTGCTATTCTCACTAACTGAAATGTGCCTTTCTCCCACCTTTCCGAATTCAGCTGCCCCATCCAAGTCCAGAGACCAGAAATAAGACTTCTGTATTTATTATTAAAATCTATTATTATCCACATCTTGCTTTTAGCATTATAGTCACTTTACAGTTTTTCACATTAAACTTACTCTCAACCAAACCTCCATGGTATACAACCTCTTAGCAGAAGGGAAATTATCCAGTCAGATATCTCTGTGTAATAAACTTTTTGAATCTAAACAGTATACCTTCAAATCTCCTCCTTTCCAATTTCATCTTATTGCTTTTATCCAAGCCGTCTACCTATGATGATCATGTGCAGATTGCAATTCCATGATGCATTCATTACACTTCTCCGGTTAGTGTCAGGAGCAGATCTGATGAGCTACAGCACAAAATAAATCCCCGCTGTCGGTTAAACAGTTGGCGGGCGCTGCTGAGAGGTGAGGGGCGGTGGCAGAGAGGCCTGGGGCTCCAATAGAGGAGGACAAGGGTGTGGCGGTGCCCGAGTTCCCACCGTCAGTCCATCCGGGGTTCACCCTCGCGGAGGAGGGAGGGAATCCAGTCGGATCCGGGGCTGGATGACCATCTCGGCCCAGCGTGGTCCCCGCTGCTCTGGGCTTCAGGCTTGCCGCCTTGTGGGGCCACGGCTCTCGTCCTAGTCGCCAGGGAGGAGCCTTGGGCCTGGCGGTCTGGAGCACAGGCCGGAATAACTGCTTGCGGACCCGGCTTGCCACGCCTCCACGTGGGACCTGGTGCAAGTCGCTTAACCGCTCTGTGCCTGTGCCCTCTCCGTCCAGAGGGGATGGGGTTGTGGGAGTAGAAGCGTGTCGTCCACCCATGGGAAGGCTTGGCACGTCTGGGTGGTCAAAAATCATCTACTCTTTCAGCGCGCACCTCAGGAGAAAGAGGAGAGGTGAGGTATTTGCAGGCCTAACTTTCCTTCAGAGATGCCCCCCTGCGAGCTTCACACTGCACCTGGCTTGGTGTGGGACTTACGGTAGTTATTAGGACGCATCAGTGGGGTTAATGCAGTGCAGGTGATGTCGTGAGTGGGGTGGGGACACAAACTGGGAAGCAAAGACATAGCTTAATTTCTGTGAGCCTCAGTTTGCCTGTCTGTTAAGTAGAGGTGCATGTACCCGTTCCCTGGGCCTTTTGCAAGGATCAAAGGTTGGTCGTCTCTGTGATAAAGTCACAACGGGTGTAAGCAGCAGTGTGGACAGGGTGTACAGGTCTGTGATCCTCTGGTACACATCTGTGGCTCCTCCAGATTCACTGCCTGGAAGGGACAGCCGGGTGGCTTGGCTCATTGTTTCACAGATGAGAATTTGAGGTTAAAGTGGGCAGTGGTTTGCTTTAGGGCATGCGCTCATTGGTGGTGGTCGTGGAGGGTTGCCAGCCTGGCCCCTTGGATGGACTGTTTTGGAATGGTGGTAATGGGGCCTAGGCCAGTGTGTGTGCGAGTGGAAGAATATTTTAGGAATACTGAATATTTTCGTAAGAAAAATAAAAATACAAAAATGTAGGAGGAAGATAATAAAAACTTTCAAATCCCAATCCTAGAACCAAAGTTACATATAGTTGGGGAACAAGGCCAATAGGACTCATGTGAGAAACCAGCAGAGGCTGGAGTAAATGGATGGAGATAGATGGATAGGTAGGTAGATGGGTAGGTCATATTTAAAGGAGCATGGGTTTGGGAGAGGACTGAACATAATACCATTGGCGTATAATTAGTTGGTCACAGAGAAACCTTTCTATGGTTGGGTAAGGTTGGAGCTTCCATTTCTGCTATTCTATTTAATTTTCCATGCAATGCTTTAAAATGGATATTAAACATATTACAGATTGTGGGAAGTGAAGTGACCATGGCATCATGAAATTTTAATGACCTTTCGGGTGTTGGCAGATGCAGGCTGCAGCCCAGGCCCTTTGCCTCTGAGTCCCAGGCCCAGTCCAGCAAAACGTGGCCACTGCCTTGTTGAGAGGAGATTGAGGCACCTACAGTCCTTGAGGCCTCAGCCCCTGGCTGCTTCCCCCAGCTCAGGACTGTTGTCCAGTGCCCGTTGGCAACATAGGTGTTTCCGTGCCCAGGCTGGGCTGGCTTTCGTATGAAAACCCAGGTGTGACAGTTACAGACGGGAGGCCACCAAGTACAGCCTTCCTCCTTTTCCTTTCCCTCCTTTGGATGAGGATCTCCAGTTCTCAGAGCAATGGCCAAGCAAATGGCAGGGATGTGACTGGCAGGTGAAGATAGAGGCCACACAGGAGCCCGGCGGCCACCTTGTCTTTCAGGTACCTCAGCCTCCTCCTGTGCTTGAGGCAGCGCCCTCAACTGCTCCCCGCCCCCCAGGGCCTTTGCACTCACACCCTGTGGCAGTGAGATGGCAGCTGTCCCGGAGGTGCTGCGTCGGGTGCAATGTGAACGTAAGGTCACTTCATAGAGTGCCGGGGATCCCATGTCCTGTCCTTCCGGCTCTTGGCCTTTTCTTGGTGTGGCATATGATGAGAGCTCAGTAAACTGGACAGAGGGACAGCCAGACAGAAGCACTTGTTTGGAAATTTGTAGCACTTACATTTCTGCAGTTAGTGAGCCCGCACCAAGGCCTAGGCCCCTGTCTGCTGCGCAGTTGAGCTGGCCATTGTAGCCCGTGCTTGTGTGCGCTGTGTCAGGGAAAGGTGTTATCCCCAGGGACTGGGTCTGCCGTGAGGCACAGTCAAGGGCCCTGGGCTGGAGCCGGCTGTCCTCGAGCTCTGTGTGAGCTCCTTACGGGTCTGATACAGACCTGATCTCGTAGCCAAGCAGGTGGGCGCACTGTTCCCAGGTTGTCAAGTGTGAAACTACTGTGCCTCGAAGTGAGCAGCTAGGTGAGCCACCAAATGAGAATGGCCCAGGAGAGACTTTTCGGCGGGCCTGCGGCTCCTCTCTAAGCCTCTGCTGGTTGATGTTTACCCAGTGTGGCTTCTCTGCGGAGGACGACAAGCCTTGCACAGACAGCCCGTGCGCCTTTGTGACGCTGCTGGCCCCCTTCCCTTCGGTTGGTGTGTTTGTTTCCAGCTGCCCTTCCCCGGCCCTTCTCCCCTGACTCTCCGCGACAGGCCGTCCTCTGTCCTCTGGGAGTCTCCCAGTTGGACCCCAAGGCTTGCTACAGCTTTTCTGGCCTCCTTTTCGTCTTCAGTCAAGAAACAGAAGTCCTCAGGGGCAGGGCCCGGAGAGCGCTAAGCCCGATCTAAATTGGAGGGCTGCTTCCATTGTTGGATCTCGTTGTGCAGGTACTTTGGAATTTTCCAGCAGATAATTTGACTTGACGCAGCTGTTCGACCTAGTGGGTCCGGCGACCATCCCTTTCTTGGTGACTAATGAGGATTTTCTCTTGTTTGTACATGAAAGCACACCTCCAGCCTGTGACCGTGCTGTTGGCCCTTACTCCCGCCTTTGTTCTCCTGGTCAGGCAGAGTGGCTGTGCTGTGAGCCTGACCGTTCCTGAGCGCCCTCTGCCAGTGCTGCCCCAGCTCTCGGAGCTTGTGCCTCTGTCGCACGACTTCATTGTGCCCTGCCAGGGAGAGAGAGTTGCTGCAGCACAACCCAGAGCCATCCTGTCGCTTTCCCCTGGATCTGGGGCCAGGCTGTGGCTGACCACTTACATGCTGTCCCTCTCTGACCCAGCCTGAGAACAGGGGGCCTAGGGGAGAGGCCTCAGGCTGACGGTGTAGGTCTCACTGGGCCTTTGTTCCCCAGGAGGGGCCCACAGGATGTACGTTGCCATTCGAGGCTAAGTGGCTGTGCACAGCCCTGGTCCTTGCCTGGGCAGCACTGGGTGGAGGGGGATGGTGATTCCTAGGGGAGGGTTCACTGCTAGCGAGGGCGGCTCGTTTGTGCCCAGGATTCATGGAGGAAGTCTGACCCTGAAGCCAGTACTTTACCTGGTGGTCAGTTTAACTTGCATAATGGGGAAGAAAGTGCTAGGTCAGACAGATCTCAGGTGTTTTTGTGTGTGTTTGTGTGTTTGTTTATTTATTTATTTGGGATTTTTGTAGTTGAGACTATGTAGTTGAGACTGACCTGGAACTCACTATGTAGCCCAGGCTGGTCTAACTCATAGTGATCCTCCTGCCCCTCCCGAGTGCTGGGATTACAGGCGTGTGCCACCACGCCTGGCCTGTTTTTGTTGTTGTTGTTGTTGTTGTTGTTGTTTTTTAAAACAGGATCTCACTATGTAGTTCAGACTGACCTGAAACTCATTTTGTAGCTCAGGCTAGTCTCAAACTCACAGTGATCCTCCTGCCTCAGCCTCCTGAGTGCTGGGATTACAGGCGTGCACCACCACACCCTGCTCAGGTCTCAGGTATTTGCTGTGAAACTTATTTATAATACAGATGGTGGAAAATGACAATGTTCCTGTAGAATGTGGTGCTCATGTAAGCATGGAAAGTTTCTGTGACTTCTCTGCCACTTTGCTGAATCTGTGCTTTGCTAAGCACAGTGCCCCCACCCCAGGAGGGTTTTGGGTTTGGTTTTCTTTGGGGTAATGAGGATTAAAGCCAGGGCCTTTTCCCTGAAGTACATCCCAACCTTCCTTTATATTTTGTTATTTCATGACAGGGTCTTGCTGAGTCGCCCGGGCTGGGCTCCTAACTGCAGTCCTCCTGCCTGCACCCTGTGAGATTTTAAGTGGTGGTTGTGTACATGTGCAGTCAGAGACCAGGACACTGGGTGTGTGAGCCCCTGGAGTCAGCACCTAGCAGTTGAGGCACTGGCTGAGAGTGCGATTCACTTAGGCCGATCTGACCAGAGCCATCCGGGGAGCGCCTTACGTACTCAGGTCCCTGAGCTGAGGGATGGTCCTCATTCTGACACCGTGGGTATCTTGTAACTCTCCCTGAGCATTCCCAGGACCTCTGGGAAGTTTGGTTTTAGATTGCTTCGTCGTGTTGATCCGTGTCTCCCAGCGTAGTCCAGGCTGGCCTCCAACTTGGGCACTTCCTGCCTCCCACTTCCAAGTACTGGGATTGCAGTGGAGCCCAAGCCTGACAAGAATTGTTCGTAGGCTTTTTTTCCCACTTTCTAAACTTCCCTCGGTTTTCTCCTGTTTTTCTTATTCTCTTTAGGGACCTGAAATAGTTTTCAGTGAACACCTAAATTACAGTACCTTTTGAAAATGTCTTACATAGGTGTATATTATGTGAAGAGAATATGGGAGGAGAACGGAAAGGTATTAAAGGAAGTAGAACATAGAACGCTCCATACTGTTGGTACGGCCATTCTTCTCACCTTAAATCCTGATTCTCTCACTGTGTTTCCTGGGGCGATTTACTCAGTCTCTGCGTTCTAATTTCTGCATATACATTTTGATAGATTTTCCTTCATGGAGTTTCTGTAAAGGCTCGATAAGTGAATACAGGTAAATTTCTTAGAATAATGTCTGGTACAGACAAATGCCCACCTGGCCACTGTGAACCCCTTTCCCTAGGGATCATTTACTTACAGGGATGTTGGGTTCCACACAGATTGTCCATCACCGTTGGAGTTTGTAGTGTTCATGTGAAATTCGGGTTGGAATTGTGAAAAAGCCACGAGTCATTTATTGGAAATGGGAGTTTTGGCTTATGATACCAATAATCTGTTTCCCCTCTTTTGTTTTTCGTTTTGTTTTAGGACAAGTTAAAACCTCTCCTGGCTAGAGAATATTTAATCATTTAGCGGAAATGGTATTTTTTACATGCAATGCGTGTGGTGAGTCCGTGAAGAAGATACAAGTGGAAAAGCATGTGTCGGTTTGCAGAAACTGTGATTGCCTTTCTTGCATCGACTGCGGTAAAGACTTCTGGTGAGTTCTGCGTAGTCCGTGTGGACCCACAGTGTAGGTCCAGACTAGTTGGGGAAGTTCTGGCGCCACAGAGGCAAGTTTGAGGAAAGAAAGGAAAATGCCCTGTGGCATCCACTGATTGAAACTGATGTGGTTCTCTGCAAAGGCTTTTCGAAACAAACTGAATTTAGAGGAGTCTTAAAGAGAAGGCTGAGGGGCCGGGACGGACTCACGGTTAGCGCACTGACCAGTGAGCGGCACTGGCCGCCGCCTCTGCCAGGCCCAGGGATGTGGGCGCTCGGGGTACTGCTGCAGAGCCTTGGAGAGCTTCTGTTGGAGCTGGGCTAGCATGTGCCCATCCTTGAAAGCAGAGGAGCTCCTCGTTGGAAAACGAGCTGAGGATTTGGGGTGCTTGGGCAGGAATGACACATGCGGCATTGGTCAGAGCCTGCGACCTGGGTGTGCGTCTAACAGAGTGGCTTCTGATCTCTTTCAAGGGGTGATGACTATAAAAACCATGTGAAGTGTATAAGCGAAGACCAGAAGTACGGTGGCAAGGGCTACGAAGGGAAAACCCACAAAGGCGACGTGAAACAGCAGGCGTGGATTCAGGTAATACCTCCCGACCCACCCAGTGGCGTCAAGTCTCCCCTCCCGGTTTCCTCTGGAATCTGAGACTAAGAAGAAATGTGTCATCCGTGCACACACGTCCCGGAAACATCATGGCTTGGGGCAGGCTGAGGTGGAAGGAAAACTTTGTAAAAAAGAGCTATTTTCTGTTAATATGTTTGTGGTGCATTTTGTCTCTTATGCACATGTTTTTCTGATTTTTCTTTAAAAGTATCGGAGAATTGTCACTGGCTTTCTTTTGCTACTGAACCAATTAGAAACTCTCTAATCTCTTTCTCTTAGTGATGATGCCACTGTGTATAAGTCAGACCATGCTATCTGTTGTCAGAATCAGGTAAAATAGACTTTTTCATAAATATAACATGTTTCCTGCTTATCTAAAATACAATGAAAATATGTGCAAAAAAAGCAGAAGCCATGAAGTCCCTGTTTGGCTGAGAGATAACTTCCAGGATGTCATTGACTGTGCGCTGACTGAAAACAGGAGGAAGGGTGCAGGAAAGAAGGTGCAGATGAAAAGACGAATGTAAGCTCTGGAAATTGGGCATGTTCCTAAAACCAAATGAGTCGTTCTCCGTTTAGGGTTAAGATGTACATATGGATTCTCTCTCTCTCTCTCTCTCTCTCTCTCTCTCTCTCTCTCTCGTGACAGAGTTTATTTGAAAGTAAAAGTGAAGGGTGAGGGAGAAACTGGCTCTGCAGTGAGAGCTTGGGCTGAGGAAGATAAAAGTACACCCTGGAGGGCGCAAGGCAGGCTCCTGTGAGGAAAGCCACAATAGTGGGCTCTTTGTGACATCTTCCGATATAAGGGGAATAGATGTAACTGTTTTGGGGGGGTTACCAAGGATGGAACTCTGGTCCTTGTGTTTGCTGAGGCTGGTGGTAGAACCACTGAGCTAAGTGCACTAGATGTAACTTTCACCGTGCAAGATGTCGGATATGCTGAGTTCACATTCTCTGAAGCCAAAGGATGAACTGTTCTTTAGAACAGTGGATGTTAAGAGTAGGGAAATTTATTGGGGAATAGGAATAGGGAATAGAATAGCTCCTGGGAGACAGGAGGGGTCCCGAAAGGGTTGCCTGAATGTAGATTTTCTGACCCTGACAGCCTTCCAAATTAGCATACTCCTCAAAAGATGAAGGACAGTTCTGTTGCAAAGGACCTGGCTCGCAGTGTCTGCCTGTAACACATTTGGGCTGGTGACCATCAGCCAGGCTTGGGGACACAGTCTCTGGTCCCCTAAAACCTAGCTGTCATCCTTGGCTCTTGGAGAGGGACGGATTCCATCTCTGTTGTCATCACACTCGAAACCCTCTGAAAAAACAAACATACTTGAATAATAACAGAAAAATACAGAAGAAAGCAACAAGTGGTCCCCAAACTAACCATCCAGAGACCCCAGCGTGAGTCTCGTGCAGGCCACAGAGGAGAAGTGTCTGCGTGGGTCGTGGTCTCTCCCTCTCGGGGGTCGCCAGTGCCCTCCTCTCTCTGACACTGTCGCCACTCGGGCAGGTGCTGGCCAGCCTGTATTTTCCTTTGTCAAAGCCGTCCTGATTTCTTGGTTGATGTCTTTCTGCATGAGTGCCATTGGCAGCTTTGTCTCATCCCTGTCTTTGGGACCTGCATCCTTTTTTTTCTGGTCTGTTTATGTGTAGATTCGTTTTTTTGTCCACAGGAGCATTTTCCTGTGTTGTATTTGCTTGACCTCATGGGATGTCTTGGGTCGGTTCATTGATGACTGTCCCTCCTGCCGCCTGCCGGTTCCTTAATTTTACTAGTTGCTTTTTTTCTTCTGTCTTTGCTAGGATTGCTTAGCTTAGCATTTTCTCCAGGTCGCTAATTTTATTTTCATCTCTGTTCTGTTCTTGCTATTTCATATTTATTTATTAGAACTTAAGGCTATTTTAGGCTGCTGCTCTTCCCTGGTCCCATGTGGTTATTTTTTGTATTTTAAGTGTACAGTTAAACACATTCACGTTCTGCAGTCCATTTCCAGAACTTTCATCTTCCCAAACCGACGCTCTGTACCCTTTACACATAAAACTCTCTGCCCCTGCTCCACTCTCCTTTCTCTCTCTGTTGTGTCTGCCTATCCTGGGAGCCTCCCAGAAGTGGAATCATGGTCCGTCCTTTTGTGACTGGTTTATTTCACTTTGCAGATGTCTTGAAGGTGTGCCTGTGTTGCGGCATCTCTCAGAATTTCCTTCCTTATTACGGTTGAGAAACATTAGATTGTCTGACTCTACCACGCATTGTTTATCCATTCATGTGCCAGTGGACACTTTGCTTATACCTTGTGGCTGTTGTGAAAAACATTGCTGAGAGCATGGGCATACTACATGTAATCCGTTCATTTCAAATCCCTACTTTCAGTTCTTCTGGGGTTGTACCCAGAAACAAGATTGCTGGGTCCAGTGGTAATTCTGATGTTTTGAGCAATCTCTACACTGTTTTCTGTAGCAGCTGCAGCAAGTACTTCATATTCCTACCAGTAGTGCACATCTTGATGGCCACTTGCAGTGGTCTCTCTCTTTTTGTGTGTTTGTTGTATAACAGTCATCCTCCTGGGTGCGACATGGGAGTGCATTGGGCTTTGGGTTTCTGTTTTCCTAATGATTTGTGATGTTAAGCATCTTTTCATGTATTCATTGGCTATCTGTGTATCTTTTTTGAAGAAGTTTCTAGTTCTTTGTCCATTTTAAAATGAGTGTGTTTCTGATGTTGAATTGTAGGAGTGCTTTGTGTATTTTGAACATGAAACCTTTATTAGATATAGTATACAAATATTTTCCCCCAGTCCATGGGTTGCCTTTTCTCTCTGTTGATAGTGCCCTTTGGTGCATAAAGCTTTTGATTTTGATGTAATACAATTCATTTTTATCATTTTGTTATCTGTGCTTTTGGTGTCATATAAAGAAATCATTGCCAAACCTGGTGTCTTATATTTATAAGACTTTATAACGTTACATATACTTTCTTCTAAGAGTTTATACTGTCACCTCCCAAGTTTAGAGCTTTGATCCATTTGGAGATGAATTTTGTATGTAGTGGAAGGTCAGAGTTCACCTTTGTTCTTCTCCATGTAAATACCCACGTTTCTCACTGTCTGTTGAAAACACCCCTCAAGACTCCATGCAAATTTTAGATGGATTCTCTCAAAGAACATATATAGAAGCTGAATTTTGATGGAAATTGCACTAAATCTGCTTTGTTTTGGGAAGAATTGGCATCTTACCACTGCTGAGTCTTCCATTCCATGAGCACAGAATGGATGTCCTCCTTTAAGTCCTTTTAACTGTTCTTGGTAGTTTTCAGTGTACACGTCTTTCACTTCTTTTGTCATGTTGTTTCCTGATTATCCTATTGAGTTTGTTTTGTTTTGTTTGTTTTTGCTGGGAATTGAACCCAGCACCTCCTACTGAGCTACATTACCTCCCCACCCTGGGATCATTTCAAGCCCAGCAGTACTGTACTACTGAGTTATACCCCAGGCCTTTTTATTTTTTATTTTGAGACAGGGTCTTGCTGAGTTCTCCAGGCTGGGCTCTCTTCTGATCCTCCTGCCTCAGCCTTCCAGTTAGCAGGGGCTGGCAAACATGTGCTACTACTCCTGGCTTATTCTGTTTTGCTTGAGTAATTTTCTTAATGCCCTTTTTTTGGGGAGTATCGGGGATCAAACTCGGAAACTTGTGCTTGTGAACCACTGAGCTAAATCCCTGGCCCTGCAATTTTGATTTTTGAGAGTTGATTTTATATCCTGCACCTTCCCAATACTTTACCATATGGAATCATTAGGGCTTTCTATATTTGAGACCACATTTCTATATAGGTATCCTTTGTGAGCAGAGATGATTTTACTTTATTTTTCCTTTCTAATTAGGAAGCTGCTCATTTCTTTTTCTTGCCTAATTTTTCTGGCCAGGACTGTCAGGAGTGGCAGTTAAATCTATGTTTTTAAACTTAGGCATAAATACAGAATCTGGACTGAAAATGTGAATCCTTTGGCCATAGCAAGTTCTTTGGGTTTGGCTCTCATGAACCTTACATGTTGCTTGTTTATTGTCTTCCATTTTTTTGTAGAAAATTAATGAATTAATAAAGAAACCCAGTGTCAGCCCCAAAGTGAGAGAACTTTTAGAGCAAATTGGTGCCTTTGACAATGTGCCCCGGAAAAAGGCGAAGTTTCAGGTATGGATTGATTGGCTCCTCTGGGGGGCGCTGTGTGGCAGTGAGCCACTGGACTGGTGTATCCCATCCGAATGAGATTCCTGATTCTTTCCTTTTGCTTCTTACAGAACTGGATGAAGAACAGTTTAAAAGTTTACAACGAATCCATTCTGGAGCAAGTGTGGACCATCTTTTCTGAAGCTTCTAGCAGTGTAAGTCAAATCCAGTTTTGGTTCTGCAGTGCAACAGGGTAATTAATAGTAATGAAATGGGAACGTCTGATATTTGGAGGCCAAGATAGCTTCTTTCATTTTTTTGGTACCAGGGATCGAACTGAGTTCCTTGCTCTTGCAAGACAGGCAGCAGAACCACTGAGCTAAATCCCCAGCCCAAGATAGCTTTTTTCTTAAAGAACCTCTTTGTGTCTTCATTTTGGGGACAGAATGAACTGCTTTAGAGAGATTTCTTACTGTGCCAAGAAAGGCTTATTTACCCCCAGTGTGATAGTGGTAGCATCCAAGGCTAATGACCAGCCTTCAAGTCAGGCAGGGTCCCTGGGAAGTTGGGAGCTTCAGATTTCTGACACACCTGGCTCAGATCCCGCAGGGATCTGGGCCTCTGAGCCCCAGTTTCCTCATCTATTTTAAGAGTGGCATTGGTGCTAAGAAGAAAAATAAAAGGACGTGTGGTTAGTAGAGGGTGAGGGTCATAGAGGGTCTTGGTGCCCCCTGAAGGAGCCTGGTTCCATTCGGATAAACACATCGACTTCCTGTTACACTTCGCTTCCATCCAAGCTCCTAATCAGAGTGGTGCTCTGTGTAGTCTTATTCTAGATAAGTTATTGGGAGTTCTTCACATAGAGAAAATACTTTGGCAGCAGTTGGGATCCGAGTGGAAGTTTATCTTGACAGTATGCCTAGCGTCACTCTCAGAATGTATAAGTTGGACCTTTGGAACCTCATGACTAGTCATTTAAGATTGCCTTTGCAGTTTCTCTTTTAAAGTTCTGAACACATTAAAAAATACATAAAATAGCTAGAGATGGTGGTACAGGCCTAAATTCCCAGCTCCCTGGGGGGCTGAGACAGGATTACAAGGTTGTCTTAGACCCCATCTGAAGATAAAAGGGTCAGCGATGTAGCTCGGTGTCGAGACCCAGGTTCAGTCCCCAGCACCTCAAAAAGAAAAACCATAAAACAGGCTGGGCTTGTAGGTGCAGCCATAGGCCTAGCGCTCTGGGAGGATGAGGCAGGAGGATGGAGACTAGAGGCAGCCTGGGATGCTCTGGTTGGTGGTTGCCGCGCCCTCCTGAGCCTTAGCCCCTCGGTGCCCTGCACGGCTCAGCACAGGTCCTTGGGACAGAGCGAGGTCACATGGTTTGCTGCTGTCGCAGGTGATTTCCTCCCTAAGTGCAAAGCCAGCTCAACTGCAGCTTTCCAGCCCCATGGCAGTGGCGCCTGGGGAGCTGCATCTGTTGGGGAAGGGCCAGAACAGAGTGGGAAAAGGTGGGCCAGGGGCGACTGGGGAGAATGAAAGCCCCTGTCTGGCAGGTTGCACCTAGAGATTTGGCCTCAGCTGGGTAGCAGGGAGGCTACAGGCTCTGCCCTCGGTGACTTTATGCAGTGTGGTAAGTGTCCCCCAGTGGTCTGTGTGGTAGAGACCCGGTCCCCAGCTGGCCCTGTCTTAGTGCTCCCTCACCTTCCCAGTGTACTGATCAGGTCACAATCTGTCGCTGTTCCTGTGCTTTCTTGGGGCTCGCTGGCATCAGGGTGATGGTGGTGGTAACAGTGGCTTTGTCACAGAACCTTTCACTACTGTGTTGAGTGCTGCTGTGGTAAGTGAATGCCTTGCCTCATTCTACCCGCACACCAGCCGTGTGAGGCCTGGGAGGAGGGGTATAGAGCAGGCGCACAGCTTGTCTGAGTCACCTGAACTCAGGCCTGCAGGCAGATCGGGTGACCTCTGCACCCGGGGCTCCTTTTGCATCCAAATGGAATCTGAGCAGTGTGCTGGATTCAAGGTCTGGCTTAAGTGAAATAAGGATTCTCCATTCTTCTGTTCTCCAGTGGAGTGGAAGTCTGGACATCTGCCCAGTGCAGAGAGGGTGTGGCCTGGGGGAAGTTTCTCCCCACCTGGGATTTTTACTGCTGCACTGAGCAGTTGGGGGGGGGTCTGAGTTGTGGAGGGGTAACTCATGAGACCGTGTATTTTGTGGATAACCGCAGTGACATGAGCACTGTGTTTGCACGGTGAGACCAGATAGTGACGCGTTTCCGGGTTTTTCTTATTAAGGAGCCAGTGAGTAAGGGGCAGGACCCACAGCCCCCCGAGGAAGCAGCCAAGCCACATCCGGAAGTGGCCACCGAGCTTCCCTCCTCCAATGCCAGCGGCCCCTTGGAAGAGCAGGCACAGGTGAAGAAGAATAAAAGAGAAAGGAAGGAAGAACGGCAGAAGAACAGGAAAAAAGGAAAGAAAGGGCTGAAACTAGAAAATCGTCAAGAAGATTCAAAGAGTCAGAAGCCTAAGAAGCAGAGAAAGGGGCAGGAGACTGACCCGGGGGCTGATGGGGAGGAGGCCCTGATGGCCAACGGCTCGGCGGGGAAGAAGGGCAAGAAGACGCAGGGCCAGGGCAAGCAGGTGGCAGAGGGTGAGGACGCCGCCGGCGCGGAGACGAAGCCAGCCGTGGGGAAGAGGAAGCAGAAGCATCTGGGAGGTGCGCACACCGTAGGACGGCACCAGAACGGTCTCGCTGTGAGCTGGGTGCAGAGAGCCTGTCAGAGATGGTGTTTGGGCCACGGACGGGGGAGCGTGAGCTTTGGGCTCAGACCGACCTACACTCAGGTGGTGGCCTCCGTGCTCGTGCTGGTGCTGGTGCTGGTGCTGGGAGGGTGAGGAAGGTGATGTGTGGTGTGCCTCAGGTGTGCCTGATGTGAGCAGGGCTCTCCTTAAGTGCTTGGTTAGTTTGTTTTTCTAAATACTTAGGTGAAGCAGATTCTAAGAAGAGAAGGGTGACATTCCCGGGACACTCTGATGACGGAGAACCAGAGGACGGAGAGGCTGCTGCAAAAGGTATCTCGCCGTCACGGGAAAGGCCCATCCAGTTAGCCTGGAGAAGGCGCCGCAAGCTGGAGTGCACCGGGCTAGTGGCAGGCCCTGCCCTTCAGTGCTCTGGGCGAATAGTATCACAGTGCCACGTTCCCCTGCCTGTAAGGAAAAGCAGGAGGAGTCTGGGCTGCGGTAAACATGTCAGCCTTTTGTGCCCTGACAAGTCCCTGAGACCACTGATTTATGGAGAGAGATGTGTTTGGGTCAGCGGTGTCGGAGGTTTTGGTCCACGTTTGGGCCTGTGGTGAGGCGGCACTGTGTGGTGTCAAGATGGAGTGGGACTGCTTGCTTCCTGTTCAGGAAGTGAGAGGAAGAGGAGAGACTCAGGTTCCCCTGTCCCCGCCAGGGCAGCTCGCCTGGCCCCAGACCACTTAAAGACTCCAGTGTTGCCACCAGTGCCAGGTGGGGGTGCAGCCTTCAAGGCCCTGCAGGGGACACGGCAGATCCAGCCCATGGCAGGCGTTGCCTTTGGGTTTAAGATGAACACAGAGTGGCTTTCCCGAAGCCTTGCTCTCCCCGGTCTGCCCCTGTCCTCTTCTTCCTGCTTCTGGTGAGTCTCAAGAACTTGTGTGATCGAGGCAGACGTGGCTGTCCCCTCCCCGTGGGCTGCCACCTGGGTGCTGTTGGAGCCCTGGCCCGGTCCTCCAGGGGTCCTCGTCATGCAGCGTCTCCCCCAGAGCTGCTTCTGCTGGGAGGAGGCAAGTCCTTGCCTCGGTCCCCACCCTATCCCCAGACTTGAGCAGTGAAGGCTGGGACTGCCCCGGCTGGGTTGGATCTCTTAGCTTGAAACCCTTTCCAGCTCTGTACACGATGAGCTTTTTACAAATTAAGTTGTCAAGTTGTAGATTTGTCTGTGGCTGTGAGAGATAATTGAGCCTTGAGGACCCTCGCAAGTCTGTGTCTGCCTTTCTGAGTCACCCCACTTTGGCTGTCCACAAAGTTCCAGAATCCTGGTTCTCCTTAGCGTGAGGATTGAGGACTTCCAGAACTGCAGGCCCCTGGATGAGTGACTTAGGCACGGTTACTTGTGCTTGTCCCCTCTCTCGTCCAAGACAAAGTGGCTTTTGCTCTCACCTTGTGATGTTGGCGATGCTCACTGCATCCCGCTGTGGGTCCATCAGATCCCAGTGACCTCCCGGTGTCTGTGCAATGATGGTGCCTGTGTCCCTTCTCACTGTGAGAACGTGGACAGGCGAAGGAAGGCACTGGCACCTTGCTTGCACTTGAGAGTGCCTCACGTGTAACTCTTTATATTGCAGGTAAATTCAACTGGAAGGGAACTATTAAGGCTGTTCTGAGACAGGCCCCAGATAATGAACTGTCTGTCAAGAAGCTGAAGAAAAAGGTACAGCATATGAACAGACCTTGGTATGGAACAGCTGGGGAGAATGTATTTTTAACGTACACTTCTGTTTTCATAACCTAAAATCCTGTAGGAGAGGAAGAGAATGTGTGTTTGTGATTTCCAGGTGGCTGCTCTGCCCCTCAGGCTCTGGGGCAGGAATTGGGCAAACCTGTTACACGTCTGGCAGCCAGGGCCACGCCTGGACACCGTACCTACCTGGAAGCCTGTCTGAGGGGAGGCTCCAGTTAGTGCATTCTCCTGGCGTTTGAAAATCACTGCGCTCGATACTTTGCCATTGCTCATTCCAGCGCAGTGGTTTCTGTCTTGCCTGAGTGTCCCTGTGTGACACACAGCGGCCAGCACGCTGCCGGCCCATTCCTGAGTTAAAGGGCGAACCTTTGGGATAAATGTCCAGGACGGATGTACCCATTTGACCTTGTTTTTCTCTGTGAAGGTGCTGGCTCAGTATTACACAGTGACGAGTGACTCCCACAGGTCAGAGGATGAGCTCCTGGTCATCTTCAACAAGAAAATCAGCAAGAACCCCTGCTTCCGGTTGTTAAAGGACAAAGTCAAGCTTCTGAAATGATCAGTGATCTTTCGATATTTAGAAGTTGAATCCATTGCATTGACTTCTTCCTTTCACTGCTGTTTATAAAATGTGTAATGAATTACAACAACCTCAGTTTTGCTTTCTAAAGCTGTATTTTTAAGTTAAGGAAAAAAATATATTTTTGTTAGAACTTTTATGAAAAAATAAAATATATTCTTGTCCAAAATTCTAAATCTTTGGTGGCAGAAATTATTGTACTTAAAAAATTTTTTTTTTCTGTGTAGAAAACTTCTCTGAATGTAGCACGGTGACAAGTCAAAAAGTAATCCCTCGTTTGATCTGCCCAATAAGTGTTCATGGTAACCACATCGCTTCTGCACGTTTCTATCAGACTTTCTTTGTGCGTGTTTCTCTATACTGTGAAAATGCCTCTGCGCTGCAGTATTTCCCGGCCTGGTGGTGACGAGGTGTGTGTGTGGGGTGGAGCAGTCAGCACAGCAGAGTGGCCCATTTCCTCCGCTGACCGCTGGCCCTGTACTCCGGATGGAAGCGGTATCTTCCGGCGTTGCTGTTGCACGTCCTGGTTTATGGGGCTGGCGGGGGACCGTGCGCCATCCCCTCCCCACAGTTGAGTGTGTCCGCGGGTTTCCTAGAAGCTGATGCTTCTGGAGAGAATCACCCCTTGAGCCAGTATCGGTTGCATTTCGTCCTGTGTGGGATAGAACAAGTGTCACGGGATCGAGGGTGGGGAGAGGGTGGCCCTGTGTGAGCCCCCAGGGCTGCATGCGCCCCTGGGGTCTTCTCCCCAAACCTTGCCAGTGCTGAGCTGTGACCCGGAGATACCTCGGAATGATGGCCCAGTGGCCCTGTGCAGGACAGAGGCCGCAGGGTCAGGCCTGGCCTCGGGTCCTGCTTTGTCACTGACAGGTCAACCCCACTGAGCCTCATGTTCCTCATCTGGTTCACTCCTGGTGACGAGGAACTAGGAATGTTGCAGCCCCAAGCATAAAACCCACCTGGTGACTGCTGTCCCCTCTGGTCCCAGTGCAGGGGAATCCTCAGGCCTTCTGGAAAGCAGCAGGAAGTAAGGGCTGGCCCAGGCCATGCACCTATTTAGGGACAAAAGCTAAATGTGGCCATCCCAGGATGTCCACTTTTCTGTCTCCTGGGGGCACAAGTGTCGCTGCTGTCCTCAGCACGCAGGCAGGTGCACAGTGACCCTGTCAGACGTGTAGAGGCACCGCAGCATTTGAAATGTGTGTCCATTTGTATTTTTCTGTTAAAACTGCCCATGTCAGCCTCACTGTGACAGAACTAAAGCATGTACTCGATGGCTGTGGTCCAGTATTCATTTCTGCCGCCTGCATCAGCTGCTAACCAGGCTCTGAAGGACCTCCAAGCACAGCAATCCCAGGGGACTGGGGAGGTGTCCTGTCACGAGCACCCCTAGGACGGAGAAGCAAGGCCATGGACAGCGTCCTGTCACGAAGGGGGTCTCCATCGGAGGCTGGGCTGGTGGCGGGAAGGCCCACTCCCTTCCTGGGTCATTTCCTAGAGCTCTGCAGAGTCCCCTTAGTGGCAACAGCTACTTGCCTGGCTTAACTTCTACCCACAAGTGACCTTAAGGCTCCAGGGGTTGTTAGGAACTGAGCCAGTGACATTCGTGTCTGGCTCCCCTCATCTGGGCTAATACAACATCAAGGGCTACCGTGTCCTGCCTGTGCTGAGGGCAGTGTCATGGGTCTGGCACTCAGGAATTCCCAGGCCAGCTGGGGTTGCATTTGGATCCACCGTTGTCTTATCCTGATGTCTTCCTTCTTTTGGTATTGCTGGCATTTGCCAACTGTATCTTGGCCATTTTCCATGATGCTGCTTAGCCAGCAGAACTTGGGACCAGATGGGTTCTGTCGGCTTCCAAAGGACGAGGATGTGTGGCTCGTGTGCTGGGACCCCCACACCATCAGGCACATGGGGTTCAGAACAACTTGTGGGAGCCGCAGAGTGGACGGGCTGCCGCGTGCCCAGGCTCGGAGTCACAGGCACTCTGACAGTCAATGGCTAAGGGGCATCTGGATGGAGAAAGCTGAGAAACTGCAGGATCACTCAAGGTTTCCCTTGGTGAACCAAGCTGACCCCTCTGAGGAACTAAGGCTTTTCCAGAATCCTGTTCCGAGTTTAAACCACCTCACAAGGCGGCCATGAGGATAAACTCATGACAGCCCAAGATAATAACATTTTTACAGATCTGCAAATTTTCATACCTTTGAAAAGCCCTCACGAGTCCCGAGCATCTTGTTTTCTTTCCAAAGTTGAGTGCAGTAAATTATTTCCTTTGTTAATTTCACTGGCCTGTGGTTACCTCTTTTCCCGTTATAGATTTCCAGGAATTAACACCTTCGCTGTTGAATAAAGAAAGTCTTAATAGACCAATGTCTTACCTAGTTCATAGGTATTCGCCCAAGCTCTTGGCGGTGTGTCCTAGTTCTCTGTTCCTCTGTTGAAAACTGGTCTTTCCTGCTGCTTCTACTCCTTTTTGTGAAACGATGCATCTGGACTCCAGAGTAAAGTAGATAATTGTTGCTGACTTGTATGTGAATACAGAACCAGTAGGATTGTTAAGTCTTTCCTTGAGGAAGGAAATTGGAGATCTGTTATAGTCTTCATCCAAGATAAGAGAAAAGGCATATTCTACACATTTACCAGTACCTCGTGGTTCCTGCATCTCCATACACACACACACACACACACACACACACACACACACACACGCAGCTTTTATTCTGTCTTCCAATTAAGTTTTCAAGAAATGGTTAAGATTAGCTTTCTAAATTTCTCTTCTTACTGAGCTGAGGAGAGAATGTTAGATTTCGCATTTGCTAGAAAGTGTTATTTTATAGTGATTCCTCAATTCCATGCATTACTCTCATAAACTGGCTTTTGGTCAAAGAGATGGTATCTACTTTTTAGAAGAGGAACTGTGGCCACAAGCATGTGCTGAGATTTCACATTTCAGCAGCCCTGACATCGGGTGGGCGTGTGGCTTGGTGGCCGAGCACCCAATCTCTAGCACTGGAGGGCGTCCTATGCACACCCAGTTTTGCTTTTCCTGAGCCCTCTGACATTGAAGCCACTCTACATCACAGGACCAGTCACGCTGGGCCGCTGAACCTGGGCTGAGCTCTGTGCCGGGTCCCTGGCTCCAGAAAGCAACAAGTCAAGCACAGGGAAAAGTCACACGGTTCATACCATGGCCAGAAGAGAGACCACTCAATTCTCACTGGCCAACCATTCCTGTGTGAGCTGGATGATCAGCTTCTTGGACTTTCAGGGGGTTTTGTCTTCTCGGTTAGCATGAAACTAAAATACTGTACACAGAGTGCCTGGTACCTAGTAGGAGTCTGAAGAATGCTGGACAGTCATGAGCTGGCAGCCTTGGAAGCATCTTCCACCAACAGAGGCCTGTCCCGAAGAGGGAGGCTCTGACTTCGCTTCTCCCTGCGCAGGACTCCACATTCCCATGCTGCAGCGGCAGAGCCATGCAGCGGGGCAGTGTTTAAATGAAGAATTCCACAGCGAGTTCGAAGTGACACTATAGTTAGTCCGTGTGTAGCCACGTTTCAGCACGGTGACACAGTGCACTCACGCGGGTCCCATTAACGCAAACCTCCTGTTGGAAACACAGTAATGACACGCACACTGAGACCTAAAACTCTGCTCCCAGGGCAATGCAAGTCTCCATGAAGTAGGGGAGTGCACACGCAGGTGTCACTGTTACTAAGTCCAAGAGCAAAACCACCTAGTCCAGGCAAGCTCGGACTTACTTTGAACCACTTGCATTGGCTTTGCTTGGTTCTGAGCCGGATGCAAACTGAATCACACGGACGGTACCTGCTTGTGCCTGGCTCCTTTCACCCTCTGCCCCCTGAGATCCATCCGCATGGCTCTTGTGTATGATCTCTTTACCGCTTTGCCACCTTGGTCCACTCTGCTGCTGCTGAAATTCCAGCTGATTCCAGGGTGTCTGGGTTTCTAATGAAATCGGCGTTTTCTCCACAGCTGGTCCATGTGCGTTGTTGCCGAGCCTACTCTCACAAGTGGAATCACTGAGTCACATGGCCCGTTCCAGCTTTAAAAGATGTGGCCAGGCAGATTTCGGAGTGCTTTTACACTGCCACCCCAACACAGGAGGGGATTCTGCTCCAAAATCTGATATTTCTTGACCTTCTACCTGTGTAATACCTTCTCAAGTACCATCATGGGGCTACCATTAGATTATAAAACAGGAAAGGGGTATCCCCAACCTCACAGAAGTTTGTCTTGAGGGAGGTTAAAAATAAGAAGCCAAGTGTGTCGGAGCACACCTGTAATCCCAACATCTTGGGAGAGGCTGAGGCAGGAGGATTGCAAGTTTAAGTCCAGCCTGGGCAAACTAGCAAGACCCTGTTCTCAAAAAAAAAAAAAAAAAAAAAAAAAAAAAAAAAAAAAAAAAAAAAAAAAAAAAAATGAAAAGGGCCAGGGATGCATTTCAGTGTGAGAGCCCTAGGGCCAATCCCCAGTACCATATGCACATGCACACTACAGAGTAGAAGCTCCCTGCCTTAAAGAATGACATTTTAGCCCTATTCACACATAAAGAAACTCAAGATCTGTCTCGGCTCACTTAGCGTTAGACTTCTCAGCTTCTGTGATTTGGGGTTGGCCTTTCTAACTGCCTGGGTTACAAAACAGGGAGATTTCTTACACACACACACACAAAGGTATGCAATGGCAAAAAAGAAACTCTTTGTTTTCTTTCTGAGTGCAAATGCTTCTTTGGCTTTCTTGGTTATAAGATCCAGCAACTTTAATTTATTCCCTTTGATAGGCGTGATTACACCGCTCCTCTAGTGGCTGAAATTGTAATTGCTGAGTAAATACATATGTTGGTAGGAGCTGGAAGGCCACACTTTGCTCTGGAGGTCAAGCCTTTTGTTGGGCACAGAGCAGCTATTGTGAGCCGCTCAAATACCCGCTCTGTGACTCCTCCCTCCCCGGTGACCTCAGGCTGACTTGTGTTGCCGCAGGCCTGCGGTCAATCAAATATTAGATTTCTCCGTTGAAGATCAAAGCGAGGTAAAGGTCCAATTCTACTGGGTCTCTCTAACTGCATTG